CAGTGTAGATTTGCTGTATTGAGAAGCAGCGGTGTCTCATGCCATTGGTGATGTTGCTTTACACATCTGCCACTCATTCTTAGCCTCTCAAAACTTTTGATCAATACAGCAATGCCATTTCTGTTTCTAGTTGACATTTAACTTGCTTCTGTGCTGCTGAATGTGCAGCATTCTTTACTGCCTCCTTCACTTAATTCTGATAATGCAGTGGTGTTAAAAGTAACTGGTTTATCATGTATTTGAGTGATGGACAAGTGATTTTTTTAATGTACGGCTTTTTAAGAGGTTTTGGCATTCTGAATGAGAGCTTCTTCCCAAGAGTGATAACACACATGGATTGATTTTAAGTATACTGGTTTCACTTTATCACTTTTTTTCTTTTCAGATTCTGCTTGGATTCTGCCAGACAGACAAGGCAGAGACTTTCCATCAACTGGTCCAATTTTAGCTTAAAAAAAACCACCTTTGCTGCACATTGAAATGACAAAATACAGGGAGGGAACCCTGCAGGAATCAATGAACGACAACTCCACTTACCTGTCCTGCTGTGCTGAGAGCTTACCTGGTCTTGAGCCAGTGCTGCCTTGCCTTGTCCCCAGTGCTGTGTGGATCTGCACTGAACCCTTTGGCCTGATAATTCTTGCGGACTGAAAAATTGCCACTTTCTACCTGAATTTGTTAGCTTGTGTGCTTGTAGTCTGTGAGTGAGACTTACTTGATTGTAGCTGTATGCCGTTGGAGTTGGAACAATAGCTCTTTTCCATCTCCTTCTGAATGCCTTGGCCTCAAAGACTTTAAATTGCTTAGGCTTGGGTGGAGGCCAAAATACTAGGTTGCATCATCTGCAGTGGCTCCTGTCACTTCTGCATCTAGCTATGTTTTGTCATTCTGACTCCTGACAAAGGAATGGACCTAGTCAGTTGTGCTTTCATCTGCTCCAGAATTCTCCTGACATGACTTCATGAAAAAGAGGCTCTTATGGGACAAGTATTCCCTCAGTTCTTTCACAATCTACTGTTTAAGAGTGTACAAGTTACGCTATTTGTGTTTTGATTTTTTTCTTCCTGACTTGTAGCCAGCTTGTGTAAGAATACTTGCAGAATGAGAAAATTTAAACAAGAACAGTACTCACACTATCAAATCTGTTATAGAGTGTATAATTGTATTAACACTGAAGCCTAACTGGCTACTTTTTTAACATATTGTTAAGTAATATTAAAATCATGTCTTTCTTTTTGAAAGATGGAATACATTAGTATGGCAGATGACTTGTGTCTTGCTTTTTTCTGCGTGGTTGGGGAAAGGGAAGAAAGAAACATACAAAAAATTTTGTGAACTGAATTTCAGCTTGTGTCAAAATTGGTCAGTGAAGGCTTATCAACTTTAATATATTCTCTGTTTGCCAACACACATGATAGGAAAAACTATCTGCTAGAGCAAGAAAGATGGCTCCTGATTGCTGGAACTAGTTTTTGTGAATTACTGTAATGTTTCTATTTCAGTGGATCGTTTGTGAGCAACAAGGTAATACGGAAATTTCCAGTTCAATAGCAGTGCAGTAGTGAAGTAGGTAGGTTCAGTGCTGCTGTCAGGTAAATGGTTAACAATATAGTAGTGGTTTGCACTTCCATAGTGTGCCCAGTGAGAAAGAAGATGTGATCTAGGAGTTTGCACTGTGTAAAGATAGCACCCTTGTAGAAGTTCTCTGATACTCTGTTAAAAATAGGGGCAGCAGAAGCTTTTTTACTTCTAGATGACCATACCCAAATTGCTAGGCAGTCTTCCTTTTTTTTTTTTCTTTTTTTTTTAAGAAAACTGATCTTCCACTCAGCATATATTTAATGTCCTTTCCCAGAACTGTTCCACAGTCTTCTTTCTTCTATTTGTTAACACATTTTTCTGTGATCCACCCCCTGGGCTTGGGACTGAATTGCAAGACACATTGTCATTACACTCAGCTTGGGACTTGGGAAGGTTTGACAGACGATTGCTTTCATGTCCCCTGTGAGGCATGGATGTAGCAGGATTGGGTTGGCTGCAGGCCACTGAAATATCTACAATTTCACATCCCACTTTTTTGTTCTGTATCTCCTATCCCAGTGTGTGCTGCTGGTACAGAATGTAGTTGCTCAGCTTATACCCAGCCGTTGTAGGTAAAGGAGCCCTTAGTCTCCTCTTGCAGAAGAGATTTTGAGAGCAATACCTGTCTTCAAAATAGAGTTCAGGGACATAAAAGGACCATCTTCTGTTACTCTTCTTCAGAAAAAGGTTGAGGAAGGGATTAATATCTTAGGCTCACATTTTTTGTCAATGCAGTGTTTGTCGATGGATTTGTTCGCTTGTGCTGGAGGAATAGCAGCTCAAACCTAAAAGGTAATATCCATGCCACTCAGCACCAGTTGTCCCAGCAAAACTAAAAAACTGTGTGCTCTTGAAATTCCTGCATCAGTGGAAAAGAATGAGCTTTGTTTCTTGGGAATGTGGAGGCTTGCATCTCTTGCAGCCTGAGTTAGATCTTAGTTTTATATCTATATATAAAACGTTACTGGAGAGACTCCTCATGTGGAGCAGTGGCTGGGGAAGAAATTGCTGTTAAAACAGCAGAAGCTGGAATCATATGTAAAACCCAGCTTCTCAGACTTCAGTGCTAAACCATAACACAAGATGGCAGTGCATGTCATCACTTTGGCAAGGATCTCAACAAATTGAGACTTGGGTTGGGAAATCTGTTCGGTGTCACATGGGTGAATATTGTTGCAGATCATACCTTCTCTAGAGTTGGAACACTTTAAAAGTACTGAGATTTTTAATGGTGCTAGAAAACTCATAGCATTTGTTTTCACTAGGAATTAGATAAGAAAGTTGGCTTTATTCACTACTAACAAAGCAGTTTAAAGAGTGACACATGAATATGACTGCTTTTCTTTTTTTGTGAGATCATGGGTGAAGACAGAAGTTCTGCTTTGTGCATTTGAGGAATGTATGTATGTATTTGTAATATCCTTCAAAGATATTTGCCATTGCTCCATTGTGGTGTGTTGGTATATGTGATGTGCTCCCACACTCTAAACAGAAAGCACTAAGAATGAGTCTCCTTGAATCTGATGTTGTGCACCTTGAGGAGAAGTTAAAGGCAAATCATACTTTCATATAATAATTTGGAAGATAAGCGTGGTTTAGTCTGGGATATTTGAGGGGAGGTTGTAGCCAGGTGGGTTGGTCTCTTCTTCTTCCCAAGTAGCCAATGACATGGTAAGAGGTGATGGCCTTGAGTTGTGCCAGGGGAGGTTTAAGTTCAATGCTAGAAAATTATTTATTCACTGAAAGGGTGGTCAGGCACTGGAACAGGCTGTGAAGGAGATGGTGGAATTACTATCCCTGGAAGTATTCAAAAAATGTGTGGATGTGACACTTAGGAGCATGGTTTAGTGGTAACGTGGCAGTGATTGGATCAAGGTTGGACTTGATGATCTCCGAGATATTTTCCAAACCGAAATGATTCCATGAGTCTATGAAAAGTACTGGCTTCAATTCTACCACTTTGTGGCCTTGGGCAAATGCATTAGTTACTGTTACTCCATTCATTAAATGGTTTTATTAAGGATTTGCTAGATTATAAGTTTCTTTCTTAATGCCTAAATTAAGTAAGTAGCTATGTGAAGTCTATTGAGGTACAACTTATTGGAAACATAAATCATCAAATCATCCTCATTAGTATTTGTGTAGTTCAGATACAATACATTTCAAGCTAACTTTGAGGAGACCTCTGTAAATGATACATCATGACTAAGTTAAGAGTTCTCATGAGAGTTGAAAGGGGAAATAATTCCAAGTTTGATAGTGGCCTGCTTTGATAGCTGTAGTGTAGCTTATGCCCCTGTTCCTTACTGACTTGAACGTGTATGAAAGATGGAATCTGAGTTCTGGAGGTGGCTGGTGACTTATCTCTTTTGTGCCTGTCTGCTGATTACCAGTGCTGCTGCTGAATCTGAGGGTGTGGTGCTGTGAGGCATTTCCTTAATGGAAGAGGGCATAACTGCACAAAATGTGTCTATCTTGAACTGTGTTGATTTTGGAGGCTCTAAGACAACTCTTAAACAGGGATGTCTTATTTCTGCTTGGCATTCACTACTGCTGCTTCCTGAGGTAATGTAACTGAGAGTTCAAAAATCTTCAGCATGTCTTTTTGGTGTGGCATCAGTGGTACCTAAAACTGTGTAGCTGAGGTGCTGTGTGCTGGCAGCACAGATCTCACCATAGGCTGAAAAGAAGATTGATGTGTTAAAAATTAATTCATATAAGTGGCTGTTGAGTGCGTTGGTGTTTGTTGTGCTCAGTGGTGTTCAAAAAGGCTTTGCAAGTTGCCTTCAGTTTCAGAGGAGGATTAGCTTACCTTCACTTTAGTATGTTGTATCATAACGGAGAGGTATAATGGTTACTGGAGTAAATGTTTACATTAATATTCACATTTTCACACATCTTCAGTACATATGAAGGTTTGTGACCTGCAACTGCAGAAGCTGTTTTAAAAAAAAAAAATCTCTGCTTGCTCTGTTGTAACATACATCTGAGCAAGATTAGGTGTGTGGTATCCTTGTTGTCTTTGGCTCTTTCTGTTTAAATCTCCAGGAAATCTGAAGACTCAAACCTTTGATAGGGGAATTCTCTGAAGTGAAGTCACAGAAGTGTTGATTTGAGATTCTCCTTTCTTCTTCCTGCCCACCAGAAAAGACTTCTAAGAAGAATTCCAGTTTTCCAGAATTTCAATGCCTTCCCAATGGCCAACAACATGTCTGTCAGCTGTTACCCTGTTTGTCACTTTGTTAATCATAAAAATACTGTATTTTGTACTGTTGCTACAAGTACCCCATGTAAGTGAACTGACATTGGAAAGAAGATGTTGTTCTCTTCTATTTTCTCCACTGAACAAAGAAGTAGCAATGCCAACCCTTTTAGGGGGGTGGTGGGTGGGTGGGGGCTCATTTCTCTTCTTCACAGGTCTGTGTCGTTGGTTTCAGCTTTGCTGCTGCCTTTAGGAGAGTTAGGCCCCTCGTAGCTCAGCGCTTAGAGATTTGAAAGAAACTCATTGATGCACTCTGGATCTACATATACCCATGTTGAAAAACATGCCAGGTAAACCTATGTTTTCCTGTAACTACTTTCGAGTTTGTACTGGTTTGCTTATAGAGATCATAAGTGTAAATGGGATTTTAAAATGGATGATGTCAATTTCTATCTCTAAAAATCCAAAAGAGTTATATTGATTGTGTCTTTTCTGATAGGTTCTTCTCAAGGTTGTTTTAAAACCTTCTACTAGTTTATCTCATTTTAGAATGGCTTGAAGTGGGTGTTCACACTTGAATCAAGGTCCATAGCCTTTAACATTGCTCTTTAATGAGAAATATGCAGTCTCTTTTTGTGTTGTTAATGGTGCCTTGGGCAGAGTTTCCAAGAGAGCAGAAGGTGTGTAGTCTGGGTATTTCTTTAACCTACCTTTTCCTTCCAGTATGTCTGTGTTGCAGAAGTACAGCAGTCCACAAATCTGCATAGAGTGATCTACTGGACACTTCTTTTCTAGAAATTGCCAAAGACAAACCCCCTGCCAGTGAGGAGCGTTTTGGAATCTCATATAAACTCTTAACCTCCCTTTCCTGGACCATTTTCTTCTGGAAGCTGAACAGAAAAGTAAAATGAAGATCTCCGACAGTGCTGTAATACCCTTGGGCTGACAGTTCCAGACTCATGAACTGGCAAGGAGATCGTGACAATGTAATGTAAGTCAATAATACTTCCATCCAGTTTGCTGTCAATGAAGAGAGGAGGCAGTGGGCAGGTGCAATATCTGTGAAGAAAGAGATATGTAGTATTAAATGGAAGAATAAATAAAAATCTATACTCATGTACTCACAAATAATTACCACTGGTACTGCACAAACTAGCATGCATTCCACGCCAAATATGTCACTCAACTAGGTTACACAAGTTTGATTTTTCTGAGGGAAAGTTGTCTGGGCTTATTTTCCATTCTGGTTTCCCTTGTCAGCCTGTTCACTCAAATCAGGTTGCTGCAATGGGCTTCTGCTGGTTTAGGGGGAACAGAGGAGTTGCATGCAGGCAACATGATACTGTCCAAGGTTGTTTTGCTTGTGGCTGAAATACAAGATTTGAATCCAGGAGTTTGGAGTAGAAAAGCTGCAATGCCAAACTCATTAGACCAGATGAGTGTATTGCTGCCTGCTGTTGCTTCAACAGACTCTTCATGCTTCAATCCACTCATCTGTGTCAGCTCTTGGGAGACTGGTTCAGCTGGAAACCTATAAACAACAATGCCATCTTCTTCCAAAAGTTAAAAAAACATAGGATTCAAGTCACTTGAAGTCAAATATTTGACCATACATACCTTGTCTCATACTGTCTGTCTTCAAGACCTGATAAAAGTTTTTGTCCAGCTATTGCTTGACGACTAAATAAATTCCACAGTATTGCTAAAGGCAGTTAAATTGAGGTTTTCATGGTTTTTTAGATGGTTTGTTTTGTATTAAGTTGAGGGCAAATTAGATATAATCAACTTGCAAGAGGGGTCCTCTTGGGACAGTCTTAACAGAGTAACAGGGAGAGTGAAGTTTTAACATTACATCAGCCTCTTTACTTACATATGTTGTTTGTATCAGGCTATGAGCTCTTTGCTAAGTGAAATTTCACTTTGCTAAGTGAAATTTCAAGGCTGGAAGCAGAGCCAGAGTTGTGTAGACTTGCTGACTGAAAGGTGTGATGGGTAGAAGTATTGAAAATGGCAAGTGCACCCTGATAGCCTAGTACCTAACATAGGAACAACACTGTCACCTGTATCCTTTAACGCAAGGTCACCTCTAAGATTTCTTAATTGAGTGTGCTTTTACTTTCTGTAACAGTTGCAGATAAAGTCCTTGTGTTCTAGTTAGTAAGTAAAAAACTTTTCCTTTTGAAGAGAGCAGTGAAAATGCAGTTTGCTGGCATTTGTCTTATATGGGCCTTCTACCTTTTCCTTTTTCTGCCATCAGTCTGTCTTAAAAGATTTAAAAGGTGATTTCTCTTTCCTCTTAGACTGAGTTCTTGTTTGAAAAATCCATTTGAAGAATTAATGAACCTTTTCAGTAATGTAATTGTGGTGCATGTCACTTGCCCAAGCCATTTTGTGGTCTAAAGTGAAATTCTTTCTTGTATTCATTCTCCCCAGCTGCCTGTGACCCTTTTTGTCATTTACATTGGTCATACTTGCATATTTCCCCAGGTGGGGAAGCTTTCTGAAGGCAGTCATGCAGAAAATCTTACCCTTTCTGTATCATGAGTTATGGTCCTTGGGTCAGAAGGCATGAAATTGTGTATTGTCTGGGGGAGGGTTATTAAAATAATAACAGTAATAAAAAAATTGGGACTGCCTGCAGTATTGAAGTGTAATTCTGGGAGGAGCTGGCTTAATAAACTGAATAGGTAAGAGTAGAATTGCAAAGTAAAGGGCTTAAGTCTGTTACCTGATGCTCCTTATTCTGAGAGCTTCTGATTAACAAGAAGCAAAGTAATTCACTGAATACCCTGTCAGAGAAAGCTCTGAGTGCATCACTCAGCTTCTCCATACTGTCTTGTGGTGCTTTTTTAAGTGGTACAAAAGCATAACAGGTAGTTGAGAACGGGTGGAAGAGTTATGTAAATGCATGTATAACATCATGAGAGGTTTCAGATGTTTATTGAATTTGCTGCAGAGCTACAGCTGGGGATGTAATGCTAGATAAGGAGGTTAGTGGAAATGCAAGAGTTAAGCAGGTCAGTGTACTGATTGTGCAGTGTGAGAGCCAGTCATCTTGCCACATCAGGACTGTTAATCTCTTCCAAGATATTTCTTCATTTCAGTTCACATAGAGACCACCAGTTGTGATCATTACTGTAATCACTCTTCTGACATCCATTTTTAGCCCATCGTACCAATTGGTCAATCCAGACTGGTCACAGCTGAGTTACTGGCAAGAGTTGGTGTCTTCTCATGTGGTCCTAAACTTTGTGTCTTTTTTGGTCACTGTTAACCATTATACCTGATTTTATTTTTTTTTTTCTCTTTCCTCATGCAGATGCCTTTTTGGGCACTAATCTACACTTGTGCAACAGGAGTGTCATCGCTGCATGCCTTGGAACATTTTAGGCGTAGGAGTCAAGGACTTGAAAGGATTAGGCACTGGCAATAAATTTTGGCAGTGCCTTGGACTAGGACATGCTCATCTGTATGATGCATGCAGATAGAATAAACACGAAAGAGAAGTCTTAAAAAGTTGAAGTCATTTCCATACAAAGGTATGTTTGTCCTTGGGCTGGAATCCTTTAAGTGATGTGGTGTGGGGAGAGAAGGAGGTCTGGCATGACCTGCTGCCAGTTCCCTTTTCTCATACCAGTAATATATGACATGGTCTGATGATGGGGGTGAAGCATTTACTAAAACCAGTTGGAACTCAAAATACAGTTACAGATTGCAGTCTTCAGGCTGGCTGGCTGACTTTGTTTATTGCACAGTTTCTTTTTAAAAAAAATAACCCAGCACCTCATATGTATTTAGATGGGGAGATTATCATCTCTAATTTGGATTTGGTTTTGATGTCAATTGACACTTCATAATGTTTGGCTGTTGGTGACTTAAGCAATCTTGAATGTTGCTGTAATACAGAATCACCCAAACAATAGTCACCCAATAAGGAAACAGTGCAGCTGGTTGAGAAATTGTGGAAGTGATAGTGTTTTGAAATGACTGTGAGGGGAAAAAAAACACCACCACAAAACCTAATTCTTTTGGGTTATAGCCTGGAATGCATTCTGTGTATTAGATTGCAGGAGATAATGCAGCATAAGTATGAAAAACTAACATGTTACTTCAGTTACATGTGTAAATATTGATGCCCTGTTTTAATGTCATGATCTAAAATGGTTTTGGTTTTAAAGGTACCCTTGTTCTAACTGCGTAAGGCTTAAACATTGCATAGAGATGACCTACTTCCTCTTCAATTTTTTTTTTTTTTTGCTGTTGTGGTAGTGTTTCATAGGCCTAAACCTCATAAGATGTGCCATTTCATGGCAGTGCTGAGCAAGTATTGTGCTCTGCACAACTTCAGATGCTGTATCTTGTATGATAACTGAAATTAGCTCAGGGTAAATGAAGAAGGAAAAAAATTGCTATTTTGAAGTCGCTTTAAAAAAAAGATTTTGTTTTCTTCATTATAAGGTTTTTAGCAATTCCTTTTTTCATTTTAATTTGATTTGTAAAGCATTTAGAAAAGATTGTTGTACATTTTTATACAAGGTTGTGCATCTTTGATTCTTTGGAAACCTGTTAGTTACTTCTGGTGAAGGACTCTAATTTAATCACTTTCTTAAATGTATTTTGCCCTAGCCAGCTGACAGTATTTCTGGTTTATTGTGGTCTATGCAATCCAGTAGCTCCATCACTGCACTGAGAATTGGTCTTTCCTAGGAGGATTCTTGATGAGGATCTGAACTGTGGTAGAGATGTCTCCAGGCTGACACTGGTGTCCCACATTGATAAACAGCTGGAACAGGTGAGGCAGGAAAGACATGGTGCAACTACAGCTTGATTCCCATTTTACAGAAGAAGCATCAGCACAGAGGGTGAAGCAGCTTTGCCTCAGAGCTACCTCAGCTCAGTACATCTCTGAAAAATTCCCATTTTGCAGAAGAAGCAGCAGCACAGAGGTGAAGCAGCTTTGCCTCAGAGCTACCTCAGCTCAGTACATCTCTGAAATGGAGCTGGAAACTGAACACTGACATTCAGAGACCCAAGTCTGTGGCTGAATTACTAGCCTGTCTTATGTCGTGAGGATTTAGACAAGAATTGTCACTTGATAAAGCAGAGGAGAAACACTGTGCAGCATTATATTCTTGCTTTGTGGTGATTTTTGCACTACGTGTTCTCATCTATTTACTCTCACCACCTCCCGAATCATTACATTGATCCTTGGTCCTACAGACCTTGTGGCTGTAGTTCTCTGGAAATATCTGAAGAGCAGTTGGGTTGTGTGAACAGTAATGTTCTCCTCAGGCTTTTTGACAGCAGAACTTCAGAGTTACTCCTATGAGGCTTAATTTGTTCAGTTAAAATGTTATTTTGTGCGTGCTTTAAGTGCCAGCATTGTGCTGTAGTGTTTCTTCCCATGTCTGAGCCGTGACATCACTGAAAAGGGATGGAGTGCCCTGTGCTGTAGTCAGACCATGTTGTCAGTAACCTTGGTGGGGTCAGAACACAGTAAAACTCCTCATTGTTCTCTAAATAGCATTTGGTGAGAGGAAGGAGGAGGGGTCTGGTGTTTCTCTGTTATTCATTCCTGCCACAATAACAGTATGTCCTCTGCTGGAGGAGGCAGTCACTGGGATGGACAGGAGCTGTGGATTTCCTGGTCTGTACTAATCTTTTGGTAGATTCTCATAAATCAAGAAGCATGTATCTCACAGCTGGGGCCAGATTGCAATCCGAACCCTTAGTGCTCAGTTTTCTATGGATGGGTCTCAGCTCTTGCTGTTGGCTTCAGTAAATCAGTCTTTTGTTTCACCATGTCAGGGTATGGGGCTGATCTGGGTGCTGTTTTCCATCATACATGACCAATTTCTTTCTGGGAATAGGAGCTGTGAAGTGACCCTAAAACTGAGTATCATTTTTGTACTTCTGAAATAATGACAGTTGTTATTAAATACTTCTTTTGATCTAAAGACCAAACACCCTGAAAGGTGTTTGGTCTTTAGGTCATGGAACAGGCCTGTGGGGGGAATTTTCATCTGAAAGGTGTCATGTAGAAGTTTAACAGAAACATTTAGTAAGTGAAGTGATGGGAACATAAGTGCTATTTAATGGTGTAGGGTTGCATTTTGAGATCACTATTGCATGGACTGGCTACCTGCTGCAGTATCCCCATCTGATGGATGAGGAAGTGAATCATCTGGCTTCCATGTTTTATGCCTAAAAAACTAAATGTGGAAGGCCTCAGGTGTTCAGCTGTGGTATAAATGATCTGCAGCAGTGATTGTAGACTGTGTAGAATTGGAATGGTTTCTACCTGCTAGAAATGAATTTCCAGGAAAGCACATGACTTACTTGGTTCACTTTTGCTAATAGAAAGAAACTGAGAGCTTCCATCAGCAACAGCAAGTTTTGCATTGAATGAGGATCCTTGTCTCATAGCAGATGTACTTATTTGCATGGAAGTGAGCTAACTTCCTATTATCAGCTCAGAATGTGCTCATCTAATTCAGCCAGTACATGCCATTTCCTGCTGAGAAATGTAGAGGGAGCTGAAATAATCTGTGCAAACACAGAGAAAGGATAACAGGTATATGTGAAGAGCTTGGCCAAATATGTTTAAGCATCTTGGTCTGGTGGGATAACTTCTGATAGAATGAGAAGTTGACTCTTAAAGCTATTTAATGGGAATTCACTCTGAAATTTGACACTGTCTGGAAAAAGAAACAACCAATTTTCTCATGTCTTGGTCTTCAGGTGAGAAAATAATTCTCCTTATAACCAACAAGAAAGAATATTGGATGCTGGATTTTTGTAAGGAGTGTGTGGTACTTTTGGATCACTGAAGAGTTGCCATTATCTATGCAGAAGATTATCAGTCATATCACTTGCTGTGTTTCAGCTAAAAGTGGACTTAGCCAGGATTGTAAAAGATGCAACTATTTTTAGTAGTTATGAGACCCAAAGTTTAACTTGAAAAGTTAAATTGTCTTTTCAGGGTAATGTTCACGTAGGTGCAATTTGGTTTGCCCTTTTCTGTGTAACCAAGGCAGAAGCTTGGTTACATTGGATACCAAGCTTTCAAACCATACTACATCTGAGTTTCACTGCTTGGAAACAAAAAGAATTTCTGTGGTTCTTGTTCTTTGGGAGTGTGGAAGTTATGGGCTGCTTTTCCTCTAGGATGAGTCACTGAAACACCCCTGCTCCCTTTTATGGTGGCGTTCTGACAGTCCCTTGTTGGAAAAGCCACCCAGGAAAGGAAATACTCTGCCTGTGAGAGTGATGTGGCCAAGTGGGCTTCCTGTTTTATGTTCACTGTAGTCTTCCACTGCTGTTTTCCATTGCCAACACTAGATGTTTAGGGATCAGCATCAGGAATATCTTAAATATTGTCCAAATATTAAATAATTTCCAGGTTTTTGTCCCTGGCATGTCATGAGTGGTGTTTCAGTAGACATACCTCAAAGCACAGATGAGGTTTTAGAGCAGAATTTTCCTGCACTCTCCAGGGAGGAGGGGGGGGAAAAAAAAAAGTGGATTTTAATGTACCAATAAAAGTGCAAATGTATTTTGATACTATTTTGTCAAAATAAATGTGACAACCAATGGATCCTCAAAGAAACTTCTCACTCATTAAGGCAATTAGCCTGGGGTGCTGCTCGCCAGGAACTGATTAAAAAAAAGACTCGTTTTACAAGTCTGGCTTAAATTTTGATTGCACTGCTCCCTGTGTTAGTTAAGAAAATTAATGTTTAGGAGAGTAAAGACTGATAGCTCTAGGGAAGGGTCCTGGAGCAGCATCCTGCTCCTGTTGGCAGTACTTTCAGAAGACACGAGGTGGCAGTCGGGGAAGGTCTGCACCCAGTGGAGGGCTGGCCACCAGTAATCAGGAACTGGCATTTTGCAGAGGTCTTCGGCTTCCCTTTCAAATTTTGATTCTGTATAACTCTGTCTAGTTTGACACTTCCAGGAGACAGACTGAGACCACACCAGTGGCAAGATGCCACCCACTGCCACCCTGCTTGCTATGCTGGTACATCAGCCTGACAGATGTGAAGTGTGGGCTGCCAGCTTCATGGGGATTGTGGTTTCTAGTGAGCCCTGAAATCTGGAAGGGTAGTGAAGTCTAGCACTCGTGTTACAGCTTGGCCATCCTTCTAGATACTCTCTAGCACCTTTGCAATGCTGTTTGCAATAGGTGATGTGATCATGGAATTGGTGGTTCAGTTTTACTGGGCTAGAGGGTTAATGACTTTCTCACTTGAGTACTTAAAGGCTGGAGTGCCTGCAAGGGGAGTTTTGGTTCTGAAGACTGCATGTGTTGCCATACTTGAAGAGATTTGGTCTCTTTAGTCAGAGGCTGAACCCAGGAAAGCTGTGTAGTAGGAGTACAAAACAATAATTCAGGGCAAAAGGTACTTGGGAAGTTCACCAGTCCAGCCTCCTGCTCTAAGCAGGATCAGCTTTGAGATGGGATCGGGTTACTCTGGCTGGTCTTTACCTGGTTTGACTTTGAAAACCCTTTAGAACAGAGAATGAAACATCTCTGGGCAATCTGTTCATTGATTTATTTGTAGTAAATTGGCATTGTATTTGTTATTATTGTTCCTTTACTTTCTAGCCTTTAGACTCATCTTTCATGTCTTTTTTTTTACCAGTGGAGACAAAGCTTATTTATGGCTTCTGAGCAAGTTCTGGGGAGAGAATGGGGGTTAACCCATGCATTTCAAGAGTTTCAAAGTGAAACAAAACAGCATTGCCATTGTGAAGCACCTGGTTTACATCAGCCTACAGATCATGTTCCTGTGGCATATTTTTCCACTATGTGACAATAATGGTGTAGGCATTGTAATGGTAGCGTTTGTTTGCGGTGGAATATTGTATTAACCTGGCATGTGATGTGATATGTTTGTTAACACTGTTTCAGGCTGGTTTGTTGATGGGGAGCCTTGTTTTTTCGTTTTGGCTGCATCATGCTTGTGTCAGGTCTTTCCCTTTATAACCTACTCAAGTTACATTAAGGAAATAATAAATAAATGCCAATGGGCTTTCCCTAGCTGAAATTAGCTGTTGACCTTAGAGTACCATAAACTACATCTGCAAAAAGCCCCTGCCGGTTTTCCAGGTGGGCTTGAGGAAGCCTCTGAGTGGCTTTTTGTGAGTTCATGTCCGGAGGAGGAGTGGTGGAGATGGTGTGAATGTTGTGTGTTTTGCTGCAGGAGCTGCCGGTCGCTTGAATGAATGGACTTCCTGATTCAGAGGTAAAGAATGAATGGTCTCTCCTCACAGTTTCAAATTTATTATAAAAGGTACTTTAGCAGCTCGTTGGTGTCTGCAGCCCCACACAAGGGCTGCCTAGACAATTGTTTCCACTGCTTGAGAAAAAGTCCATCTGACGCACCGATGGGAAGTTGTCACTTTCAGTTCATTAACGTGAACATCTCTGAGTGCATGTCTGAAAAAGGCTTGAACTTCAAAAGCTTTATTGTCCAAAGGCACAGCCTGTTACTGCTCAGCTCCCTCCTGCTGTAGCACTGGCACTAATTGTATAGCTGGTATTTGATTGTTGCAGCAGTCTTGTCTTAGTGCTTGATCTTGTTTTATTTTAAAATCATAATTGAAACGGTGGTTTTCTGTGTTTGCAAGGTAGCAATGAATTTGGAACATGTAAAAGAACTTGCCTGGCTTATAGCTGAGTGAAGGGACCTTTGCAGAGACCTGATAATAAACTGATGTTTTATTTAAATCCATAATAATTTCCTGGTTTATTCTCTTCACAGACCTAATATATCTGTCTCTGTTTTTCTTTCAAGTTGGCTATTACTGTACTCCACTGGAAGGTGCCCCTGTAGGGGCTTTTCCCTCCTCTGTTTTGTTTTAGTAGTTGCTGTGATGTACTCTAAGCACTTGGGGACCTTTTAATATTAGAGTATAATAGGATGAAATTTGAGCCACCAAATCTCTGATGTCAACTCTTTAGTAATGGGTGAAACAATGATGTTATCCGCTTTTCTGATATGGTTTAGAGGGCAGCACTGTGTTTGGCCCCATCTTGTTCTCATCCAAGATATTGCTGTCTGAAAACATAACTTTAGAGTTGTCAGCATCTAACAGAGTAGTGTATAAGAACTGTTCGTGCAATTAAAATCAACATTTTGGGTATGCATTGTTATGTCTTCTGTCTTGAAATACAGCTGATTTTTAGCTTTGACATAGCTGTGGTTAAGATGATAGACTGAAATTACACTTCTGCCTTGTTTCTTCCTTGGATAGCAAAAGAGTTAATGGTGATCCCTGGGAGTTTCAATCACAGCTGATTCAGGTTAGAAGGAACATCCCCAGGTGATCTAGTCCAACCTCCTGCTACCTTTTATGATGCTTCGTTTGCTGAAGTGGCCCCTAATGCACTTGCATAGACTCGGCCCCTGCCTTCAGGGAGATCTGGGAGCAGACTTTCCCAGCCAAGTAGATGTTCTATACCTTGGTGGGAGGTTTTGTGTTCTTTCCCTTGGATCAATGTTTTCCTTACTAGTGAAATACTTCTTGTTGCATTCAGCACACCTTCCCTGTAACTCCAGATAAGCTTTTGTTTTCCTGCCTTTCTATGTGCTCAGGCATTGTCTCAGTACTCCAAGCAGCCTGTCCCCAGTCCCACCTCCTGTACACTTCCTATTAGCGTTTGAGCTCAGTCAGGAATTCCCCCTTGGGCGGAGCTGGCTGCCTGCCACGTTTGCTTGACTTCCTGCACATCAGGACGGTCTGTTCTGCTGTAAGTGCTTGTTCTTGGAGATCAGCTGGCCTCTTAGCTCCAGTGGGATCCTGCCTGCCAGTTCCCTGCACGAGCATAGATCTGCTGTTCCAAAGTGCAAGGTCTCTATTCTGCTACCCATCTACTCACTTCTTTCAGGATCTTTCAATCACCCTCAGGACTGCTGCTGCCAAGGCTGTAATCAACTTTCACACCTTCAGCTAGTTTATCTGCATTAATGAGTAGCAGATTGAGCAGGGGGTGCCTGTCCTAACTGACTTGTCTGTAACTTTTATGAACAAGGTGCCCTTCTGGATAGCTCTCTGAGATTACTTACATCCTTCCTTGTTGCCCTCCCAGGCAGATACTGGCATGGTGAAACCCCACAGAGAGAATCATTAAAGTAGGAAAAGACTGCGAAGATCACGGACTCCAACCTCTGACTGAGCACCCAGCACTGAGTGCTACATCCAGTCATTTCTTGAACACTTTCACAAATGGTGATTCCACCACCTTCCTGGGCAGCCCGTTCCAATGCTGAATCACCCTTCCAGTGAAGAAATGCTTCCTGATGCCCAGCCTGAGCCTCCCTGGCACCCCTTGAGGTTCTGCCCGCTTATCCTGTCTCTGAGAGAAACAGGGCCTGCAGTCAAAAGGCTTCTCCTCCCAGCTGCTGACATTTGATTTCATCAGCTTTCTCCTGGTTTTGGTGGCCTGTAGCAGACTGATTGTGCTATTCTGATTGTTGGTCTCCTCTCTTGTCCTCACCCTTAAGCTTTTGATCAGACTGTCATCTATTGCTTTGCAGAGCTCTGCACATTAACACCACTTCTTTGCCAAGAACATGGGCCCAAGGTCTCTCTTCTCTTTTTACCTTCCTGGAGATCCATCCGTGCAATGCAATCATGCAAACTATCCCACCATATCTCAGCTCCTAAAAATATCATGGTTTTGTGCCTGCACACAGACTTCCCGTTTCTTCTGTTTCACAGTATTTTTTGTGTACAGCTCCTTCAGAGATAGCCCACACCTGGAGAATGGGGAGTCTCGGGAAGAGAGTAGGCTACTGGCTACTATTTGTTCCTTAATTTTCCTTTTTTGTGGAACAGGTTCTGGTGTCACAATGTTTATCTTTTTGTGAAGCAAAGAAGCTGCTCCACTTGTATAGGAAATGTCAGGAATGTAATTCCTGTGTCCTGTGAATCCTGAGAAGAAAACCTTTCATAAGCCCTTTCTGGGACAAGTGAGTGAGGCACACAGTAGGAGATACAGGCATTTCTAATCTAGCTCTTTCATACTCAACTTCTGTGACATAGGTTTGTGTACCTGAACAATGATCTAGTCTGCCTCTTAGAGGTTGGTCACTCTCTATGATTGTTTTCAAATGGTCTGAATTCCAGATGATTTACTTTAATACATTCTTTCACCTACTTAATGCACTTGCACAAACACATGTTCTGTCTCTGTAATAACTTCTATTCAGCCTTCTTCAAGCAGAGTTTGCTTTTCTTCATCATTTTTCCATACAGTGCACTATGAATGTCCCACAGTGGATTTGAGATTTAGTCCCAATGAAGAAGAATGGAAGGAAGCTCTTTCTTCCTCTCTCCAATGTAAGGGAGCAGAATCAGCTGGCATTGGCCCTGTACTTCCTCCTTCTCTTCTCAGAAGCTGGAAGATTGCAGTTCCCTCCTCCCACATCCTCATCTCTACTGAGATGTGTGCAGCTATTGATGATTAGAAGTAATTTTTTTTCATGTCCAGGGTTCTTCAGGTGAATTCCACCCAGGCTGTGATAGCTCCAAAACTATCTGAAGAGGAACTATCCTAGAACAATTGCTTGGAGCTCAGTGTGCACTTCCCCTGAGCACTTCTCCATAGCTGTGGAAGTTGTGATGTGCTCATTGGCTGAGGTGTCTCAGTAACTTCTCTTTGAGGGGATTTTACTGTACATGGTTTGAGAGACTCTTTCTTAGAGCTGTGCTGTGTCCCTGGGCTGTACAGCTGCTGTGAGCAGATTGCTCAGCTTTATTCTCTCCTTTACTGTACCTGCCTATATCCAACAGACTGTGTCTTGCAGGGTTTGATGGTGGTGAAAACATTGCAATAAAAGGGGTCAGAGTCTGGTGGCAGCTGTAAAGGCTTGGGAAGGAGTGCCTTGCTGTGTCATATTACTGCATGCAGCCTGTCACTGGGCACACATGGATAAACAGCCTGTTATTAGTGGAATCCTTTTCAACAAGGACTAGAGTTTTTCACAGGCTTTGATAGGACAAGAACATCTTACTGTAATTTCCTCAGTTTACCACTTATCGAAGGGCATGTATGTTCTGATGAAATAATAATTATGTTTTTTTTCCCTGTTTCTGTTGTTAAAGATTTTCAGAGCAGTGTTTTTGGGTCATTTTCTGATCTCTGGAGTAAAGAATGCTCTGTCCTTATCTGTTTGTCCCATGTCCTATATGGGCACTGAGGCTTTACATGCAAACCATTGTTTCCTTTCCTCTTCTTTGAGTAATATTTTTCATCTGTTTTTTTAAACTTCTGACTCCTTAAAACATGACCTGACAAGTCACAGTGTACATTAATGGTAACAATATTGTGGTAACAGAGTATTCAGTCCAAAGTAACTTTAAAATACCCAGGTCTAATAAAACAAGCTTTGGCTCCATTCATTCTTAGGCACACATACCCTTCCACACCCACTGCTAAGTTAAGCTTTATCCTCTCCACTGCCAAGCCAGCTTCACCCTCTGAGCTACACTGCATTCTCTGATCCCCTGGAGCATTAGCTGTATATCTCATAGCTTGTGCCTCCACTCCTGTGCATTTCTTGTGTATCTCTGATCCCACCTGACACAGCAGTCTCTGCAGAGGAGCACAGAGGTAGAGCCTTGTCCTCAGTGTGCTGCTGCTTTCTTCTGTCTCTTATGACCCCTCATAAGGGGCCAAGGAAGCCCAGCTGCCAGAGAATATACCAGTGCCATGGCAAGGGGACCTGAGGCACAGTGAGAGGCCAAAGGAATAAAGAAGCAGCCCAAATCCAGATGGCTTCTCTGCTGCAGGCATAATATACCTGTGCTTCAGCCTTGGTTCAGTTCTTCCTCAAATGAGGCAAATACAGAGCTTCTGTATTTCAGGAGATGAAAGACAGGATGTACCAGCAAAGAGGAAGGATTTTTCCTAGGATTTTTTTCTCTGTGGCATGCCTCCATGTGGAGAATGTCTGGTGTACCAATGTCTCCTTCACTGCACAAGTCTTGCTCCCAGCTAAGTCCACTTACACTTCCAGTGAAGCAAGAATCTCATGGTTATAAAAATACAGCCATAGCATGGGTGTGAAAGAGCTGAACTGATGCTTTGCTGAAGAGTCATTTCTTAACTTGGAAAGTGCTTGTACTTGGAAGTCTAATAACCTTTCAGCATAGTTCATGCTAGTAAACAAGCACCAAAAAAGAAGTGGTGTGATAAGATTGTTTTGTTCTTAGATTGCACTTTTCATATACACATTGA